GGTGCCCCGGGTCGGGGTCCTCCACCCTCCCCCGCGAGCCCTCGAGGCTGAGCCTCCAGGGCGTCCCATCTGGAGATGTGGGCCTTGAGAGAGGTTTCTCGCGTGCCCCCCCCCCCCGCAGGGTTCTGGCTTCCAGTCGTCGCGGAGGGAGAAGTATGGCAACGTGTTCAAGACGCACTTGCTAGGGCGGCCGCTAATCCGCGTGACGGGCGCGGAGAACGTGCGCAAGATCCTCATGGGCGAGCATCACCTCGTGAGCACGGAATGGCCACGTAGCACACGCATGCTGCTGGGCCCGAACACGGTGGCCAACTCCATCGGTGATATCCACCGCAACAAGCGCAAGGTAAGAGCTCTGGGCTAGGAGCCCCGGAACCGTGCTCTGACCCCCTTTTCCCGTGCACCCCCCCCGGGGTAAGGAGTTCTCAGAGCCCCAAGGACGCCCCCACCTGAATCTGCGTCCTCATTTGCACACCGTGCTGGAGAGGATCCCGAGGCTTTCAGCCTAGACGGCTGCGATTTGGGATCCAGGTTCTGCACAGGCCTCCTCCGGGCCCGCCCTCTTGCTGACCCACTACGCCATGCACACTGCCAGGCCCAGCGAATAGTTATTTGGGGGGTGGTTTGGAAAACTTAAACATGCGGCGACAGGGGCGTCCAACGCCTGTCCTCATCGTGCTCCACAAAACTAGAAAAAAGAGAGGGTGGATGGTGGCCAGCGCTCCCCTTTTCACTCCCTGGAATTCCGAGGACTTGAGATGGATCATTCTCAAATCACACCTAGCCTTCCTGCCACAGGTTGATTTAAGGGCGACACGGGCAGGGGCGGGGAGCCGGGGACACCTTATGGGCAGCGATCGCTGGGCCCTGCCTGGGAGAACTGAGGTGAAATTTGGGCCACCGCGCGCGACGATCTGGACTGAGGAAGGAAGGGTGGAGGGGTGGGAGAACCGCCGAGGGGCGGCGGGGGATCAAAGCGCACCTACCCCCTCCCATAAAGAGGAAGAGAAAGTGGGTGTTTATCCCGTGGATTTCCCGAGCGCCTGGAAGAGGCGCGGAGGAAGCGAGCCAGCGCGCACGGAGCAGGCCTCCCCGCCCCCTCCCAGGGCTGCGCCGCCGCCGCGCTCCGAGCGCCGGCGGCACGTGCTATTTGAACTGCAGTAACCCGAAAGCTGAGCCGCCGGCGGGCGGGGCGCCGGCCCGCTGGCTTAAAGCAGCCGCGATTCGGGGGAGAGGGTGGGAGGGGGGCCCAGACGACCTCCCCTCCCTTTATTTTTTCCATTGGGTCAGTGGACCCACCAGGTTTGAAACCCAAAGGAAAGCGAGAGGCGGCCTCTGATCTCCGGGAAGAGTAGCAGAGCGGGAACAGGGGAGGGGGCAACGGCGGGCAGCCCCCTCCGCCGGAAGCCTGTGTGTGAAGTGGTCTTGGTGAACAGAGGAATTCATGCTATGGTATTTGATGTCTTACGAACTGCCTGTGAAGAGTACTTCTCCATAGCAGACAAAAGGAGGAAAATCACAAGGGACTGGTCTGCGCGTACACCGCTCCCCCCCAACCCCGACCCCGGGCCAAAGTGTGAATTTCAGGGACTGGGAAAGGGGCTTCTAAAGTCGTCTCCCCATCTGCTTCACCAAAGCAGGAAGCAGCTAACAGAGCCCGGGGGCAGATGACGAGGGTTCTTGGGAGTGACTGGGAGGGGGCTGTAGGCTCAGGAATCGGGGCTTTTCAAATATGTTGGACGCTTCTTTTTTTCTTAGTCTTTCTGACTCTGCGGAAAGCTTTTTTTTTTTCAGAGAGTTAGGAGAGAGCCCGAGACTCAGAAACCCAGCTCCAAAGAATGTGGCTGCTTCCTCATTTTATCTTTATGAAGGCTTTGACAAGAAAGCGATTGAGAAGGGGACTCTGAGGCTAAGAGAAGCTGGGAGACTGAACCACTGTTAGGAAGGGACGAAAAGACAGGGCAGGGCCTACAACACAGGCATCCTTGGAAAGAGTTGCATCTAAGTCACCAGAGCCCACCTGGGGCTGCGAAAGCTGAGGGTGGGGGTGGAGATGGGGAGTGCGTGCTGGGAGGCAGGAGGCTTGGTCAGGACCTGAGTGTGAGACCCTGGGAGTGCAGAGGGCTTTGGGGGGAGGCTGTTGCCCTGCAGTTTCATGCACACTCTGCTTGATTTGGCTTTGGGCCTCCAGGTGGGGAGGGCCCCCCTGGAAAGCCCCAAGATTTTGGCTTACATTGTTCAAGGGGGAGGAGATAGGAGGGGCACAGATGAATGCTGCTGGAGGAATATGCCACGAAGAAAAGGGGAGGTAGGGACTGGGTGAGGGGGTGGGATCCTGGTAGGGCCAGAAAGGAAAACCCTGAATGAAGCATATATGGTCCCCCTCTTTGGGGCACCCTTGCCCTCTGGCTCCTGGGGGAGGGTGTGGTGCAGCCAGAGACCAGCTCTTCCTGACAGTGGCTTGGGAACCTGCAGGAGGGCCATCCTGTGTGTACTAGTCACGTGCTTGTTGTGTGGCACGTATGGGGCTCCTATGTTAAATGGGCAGTTGGAAAGGTCCTTCCCCCCAAATCTCTAATTGATGTTCCATAAACTTAAGTTTACAGGATTAAATAGCAGGTCTTGTGTCTCAAACATAGGTTTGTATTTGAAACATAGAAGCGGGGAAACTTGGTCCTTGCCCTCAAGAAGTGGAATCCAGCTGGAGGGATGAGAAGCGTATACGCAGAGGCACACATATTGGTCCTGGAGAAAATGGCCAGTCTGTGGATCCAATGCCCAGTGGACTCAATCTGGCCAGGGTGGGGCTGCTGTGTGCCACTCCCGTCCTCCCCCACCCCCCAGGCCTTATTTAGCCCACGGTGCAAGCATGGGAGCAGGGACTTGGCTGGAGAGCCAGCTGTTGGGCCAGGCCCCAGCCCGGTTAGGATGTATTTGCAGGAATTGGGGCCCAGGTGTGCTGGGGCCCCGCTGGCGGGGAGCTCAGAGCGTCACTATTTCCATTGGGGCTGCTGCCCCACCCCTTCTCTGGGAGGTCTGACCAGATGTGCTGGGAAGGGGCTCCTCACAGCCATTGCCGCACTCCAGGTGTTTGTCCAAGGCTGCCCTGGTGGTCTAGGACCAAGAAGGGTAGGGTTGCCAGGGAGAAAGTCCAGAATATCTTGCCGAGTCTAACAGAATCCTATCTGGAAGCCAGACTTGTGTCCCTATAACTATGACCTCAGACTCTGTCCCTCCTCTGTTGTTACCCACCCCCTACCTGGAGCCTGGGATGTCTCTGAGGGGGAGGGACCGTATCCCTCTTTGTGTGCAGAGAGCCTGGGTTTTGCCTTAGAAGGGTGCATGGAGTCTGATAAGGAAGAGGCACAGAGAAGGAGGGGTGTTGCTGTGGGTAGTTCTGGAAGCACCCAGGGCCCAGCCACCCAGACCAGGATCAGACATTTCCTCTTTCCCTTTGGAGATAGGGCCGGGACTCTTTGACCAAAGGGCGGGCATCTTCAGGGCTTTTCAGACAGTGACCCTGAGACTCTGGCAGGGAACTTGGAGTGCATCACAGGGATGCACTTAGCCTTGGAGCCCTGGGCTGGAGAGACCCCAGGAGTGGTGGTCTTGTTCCTCCTGCCCTGACCCCTGGCTTTAGGGACCTCTGTGCTCATGGCTGAAGTTGGGGAGCAGCTCCCCGGGTTTTAGAGGTAGAGATTAAGAAGCCCTGCCTGCCCACCTACTGCCCGTCACTGACCTGGCCTTTGGGCCCCATCCTGAGTGGAGGTGGAGCTCAGGCTCAGGGTTACTGCACTCCTCTCAAATCCTGTGTATCCTGGGGTTTGTGTCAGGATGGAGAGGCCAGGAGATGCCTCAGCAGGAGGGCACAGCCAAGAGGGCCGGTGGTTGCCGGTTCCTGGGGGAGGCCAGCTCAGACTGGCTCCAAGTGGCCTTTGGACGAATGCACAGCACCTGGCTTGAATGTCACATCTGCCAGGTTCAGCTCAGGGCAGAAGGTCCCACCTGCATCAGATGGGGAGATGGTATGTGGCACAGCCAGGCAGCCCTGGTACTGGGAGCTCTGCCCCGCCCCCCAGCATAGGCACAGAGCCTTTGTTCGGCCAACAGAGATCCTTCACCCAAAAGTTACTGTAACACCAGAAACTGCTGAGGGGGCGGTTGGTAGGAGCGGATCTCTCTGAAGGTCGGCGGGGGAGGGTGCCCACTGCCCAGCGCCTGGGGGTGGGCTCCTCGCTCTGCCTGCCCTTGTGCCAGGCCGGGGCTGCCCCTCCCTCTCCCCCCACTTCTGTGTCCTCCCAGGGTGGGGCGGGGTCCAAGGCTGTGATGCTGAAACGTGTTTGCGCACTCTCCCAGCCTGGGGAGACAGTTGTGGCCTTGGTTGGAGGTGGGGAGGCTTGGCTGGAGTCCCGTCTGGCCCTGAGCCCCCTGTGCCATGTTGTATTTGTTCCAGGTTCCCCACGCCAAAGGGCAGGGGTTAGCGGTGTATCTCCAGGGGCTGACAAATTTTGAGAGCAAACCAGAGTAGCTGGCTTTACCCTTGGAGTAAACTTGGGCCACAGAGGTGGGTCTCCTCCAGGGCTCTTAGATAAACTCAGAGCCCCCAGGATTGGTAGAGGGTGACTCAGTGGGGTTTGGAGTGGCAGAGGCAGGGTGTTCAGGGACCCTAGTGAGTGTGGCCAGTCATGCCCTGGATGTGACCTTGGAAGGGCCCTTCCTGCTGTGGGCCTCAGCTTTCCAAAGGGCTTTACCTACGGCTGGAGAAGGGGAAGAGGGTCTGGGTGGACCTTCTCAGGTTCTGTGGTCCAGCAGGTATGTGCTCAGTGCTGCCCTCCCCTCCCCTACCACGTGCCATTGTTGTGTGGAGACCATTGGAACTGGAGTCAAATGGGGGACAGCTACTGCGTTCCCACAGATGCTGGGAACCCAGAAGGGGCATGCCCAGGCTTGGGGGGTCTGGGCCAGCCCCTCCCAATCAGAGGGGCTGAGCGGGGCCTGGCTCGGGAGGCAGCCAGGGTAAAGCCAAGGACCATGGAAACGCCAGGCAGCTGGGAAGATGACGTCCTCTCTCGGCCTCCCCCTTACTTGAGTATAAAGTACACACCTTGGCGTCACCCCTGTGCTGTGCGGACAGCTGCCGCGGCGGCTGCCCGCCCTCTGTTATTCTTTCCACTCCGCAGGCCGTGGCTCCGGTGGCTTGGCGGGGTGGCCTGCCCAGGCCCCCACCCTCCTGGGCAGCCGCTTCCATTCCTCCCAGTCTGAGTCACTGGCCCGGGGAGTGGGTTCCCTCTCGGTTCTTCCTGCTTCTGAAGCTGCCCATCCTCTCTCCCTCCATCCACAGCCGCCAGGCCAGTGGAGAAGGGGAGGTTACCTGGCTGAGGGGTCAGCACGCAGGGCTGTGGGGGTCCAGTGAGCAACGCCTCTCCCAGGGCACTGGGTGAGAGGCAGGAGCGGGGAGGGAGGCATAGGGGTGTTGGGGAGTCATTAGCAAAGACCAGAATGGGGAGTTTGAGCCTTGACAAGCCCCCTGGTGGTTCCCCCAGACCCTGGTTGCAGAATCAGCTTTTATTCCAGGGAGAGGGAGTAGCCGGGTTGCAGGCTCTTGAACCAATTGCATTGTTGGGAAAACCAGTAGAGGTGGGGGGAGGGTTTCCGAGCACATCCTTCAGAGTGAGGGCGCATCCTGCCCCGCATCCGTGCCTGAAGCTCCCGGGTCTCCCGTGCACCTCTGCCCTGCTTTGTCTGGCACCAGCCCGGCTGGGATGTCCATACCTGCTGCTCCCTCTGCAGGGCTTTCCCCAGGCCAGGCTGGCTCCCGGTGACCTTTGTCCAGCATTCTTGGCTTACTTGTGGGAATTCCCAGGGAAGCCCCAGAGGGAAACAAAGCAGCCCTGGCTCTTGCTACGACTGCGGTCAGGGCATGGGCTCTGGGGCCCGCCGGGAACCCTTCCCCTCTTCATACTGAGCCGCTCCGCCCGGCGCCTTCCCCTGTGCCCGAGTCCTGACCCTGCCCGCCCCCACGTGCCCAGGCCTCCCTCTGCCCTGGCCCGCACCTCCGCCTCCTCCTGGCCTTTGTGGTGGGTGGTGGTTTCTGGGCTGCCCTGGCTTTGGGAAGTGCCTGCGCTGTTCACCCTGGGCACGGTCCCAGGGAGGAGGCCCTGGAGTTTTCCCGGCGCCTGGGAGGCCCCGATGCCTGTGGAACAGCTAGGCCGGAGGCAGGGGCCTGGACTTGGTGACCTCTGAGCAAAGCCCCTTCATCCCAGTGTGCCTGCAGTCTCTGCCTTTGCTTGGCTTCTCTGAGTAATTCCTCCACCTCGGGGCTGGGGAAGGGGTGTGGCTCAGAGGACAGTCATGGGACAGCCAGGTGGAAAGGGACTGCAGAGCATTCAGTTAGACTCCGGGATGGTCAAGGTAAGAGCTCTGGTCGTGGCTGCAGTTCTTTCAGAAGCCCCACCCCAGGTGGCCTGCAGGTGCGGGGTGTCAGTGGGCTTCCTGGGGTCATTCCAGCTCCTTGCCTTGCGCAGGGCCCCTTCCCATCTAGAGATAAGGCATGGACCCCCTGCCCTTGAAGTCTCTCTGCTCAGTCCTAGGTCCCCTTGAGTCCTCCCTGCCCTCCTTGGCCCCCAGGGTTTGAGGAGGAGCGATTCAGCCAGCCATCGCTAGAGGGCGCAGGCAATGTAACCTTTGGGGCAGGGCAGGGCTTATCCCTGGGTCCTGTCTGGCCCACTCCTCCAGGTACAGTGGGGACCCTCTGAGCGCCTCCTTCGGTGACCCTGGGATGGCCCCTCCTGAGCTTCTGTAGCCCATACGGGATGTGTGAGTGGGGGCCTGACAAGCACTTACGGGATGATTATTGCAATGCCAGATTCTGGGCTTCTCTGAGGGGATAGTACCTCAGAACACATGGATATTGGTGTTTATACGATCTGTACATTGAAAGGACCCACAGAGGTCACCTGGTTCCACCTCACCAATTTACAGGCGAGGAAACTGAGGCTGGGAGGGGTGACTTGGCCATGATCACACTCACACAGTAAGTTGGTGGGTGATCTGGACTTAAAAGTCAGGTCTCTGGGTGCCCAGCCTGCCTTTCCCCAGCCCCAAGTGCATCTTGGAGCCTAGCTGCTTTGACTTCGGCTGGTCTTGGTGGGCCTGGCCTCTGCTCAATTCCCCCTCCACCTGCCCACCTTTGGGCCCAGGTCTCCGTGTGCTGGAGGCCCTGGCCAGCCCCTGCCCTCTCCCCTTCATGGCAGTGCACCTCATTCTGCCCTGGGCTGGCTGGCTCTGGCCCCTTGCGCCTGCCTGCTCCTCCTCCAGCCTCCCCACCGAGGCCTGGCAGTCACAGAGTTATGGTCCTGCCTCCCTTGTGAGCCTGCTTGGCTCCCACAGAACCCTCTCTGCTCATCCTGTGGGCTCTTTGCTGTTTTGTAAGGGCCCCTAGTGAGCCAATGTTGGGCCCCACTCCCATCCATAAAACTCTTGGACCAAGAGCTGAACCTGGAATCCTAAGGACACTAGGGTGGGGGAGCTGGGGCAGAGAGCACCCTGAAGGGAGGTGGCAGCTGAGTTCCCACCCCAGGAAATTCCCAGGGCCCCCACAACTGAGCAAGGTGTGAGTGACCTGCCCAGACCTGGGCTGCCCTGGCCACCTCCCCTCATCCTTCCACATTCCAGCTGTCCTTTCGTAGCAGGAGCAGCCCCAAACAGTGCTGGCTTCTCTGCCCTTCACCGGCCTCCTTCCCGCCCTCCCTCCTCCTGCCCACCGGGAATTTCGGAATGAAAGTGCTATTGTGAATGCCTGGCTGGGCCACTGAAGGGCCAGCACTGTTATTTCTACAAACCAGCCCTCCCATTAGCCATGCAGGGCTGGGGCCAGGAAAATGTTACCTTTTCCTCCTTGAGCTGACTGCAGGGGAAATTCTCACATTTACAGTTTGTGCGGTGGTTGTGTTTGGGGGCAGGAGGGGAGGGCAGGCGCGTGTGTGTGGTTTGCGTGGGGCTGGGGGGCGGTGTGGCTAGAGGAATATTTGTCTCCTCCCTCTGTGCTGCCCCTCCCCTCTCTGCCTTTCCCGATGACCTTTCCCTTGGTGCTGGTGGGGGCACCCCCTTCTGCTCTGGACTCTGGAGACTGAGGTTAGAGGCTGTTGGTTACCAGTGAGACCCACAGGCCATCAGTAAATAACCTAACATCTTACCTTCTCCTGTCCACGGTGGGCAGCAGCCTGAAGCCATGCATAGGGGCATCTGGGTGAAGAAGGGGCAGGAGGACTGAGGAATTCCTTGCTCAAGATTCAGGAGGACAGAAAGCAGGGGAGGTGGAGACAGGGACTCATTGACTACTTAAAGTGGACTGGGAAGATACAGGAATTAAAGGGCTTCTATCTGGGTTTCTGATCTTCTGGGGTGGAAAGCCTTCTCCCCATCCGCCTGTCTCCAGACTGAAGACACTTTCATGGTACAGCTGTTAACAGACTCCCTAGGATCTCCACCTTGTTATTTCCCAGGGAGTGAGAGCAGTTTTGGGTCTCAGGAAGTCCTGCGTGCTGTCTAGCCTTACGCTTTCTTGTTCTGCCATCAGTGGAGTAAAAGAGCCACCTACTGTTTTCCACCTCTTCCTTGTCCAGTCTACTCACCTGTGTTCTATTTTTTTGGGCCACTTCTGCCCCGTGGCCTGGGCATTCAGGAATGGCCCCTGCAGTGGAGGCCTCCTCTCCAGCCCCGCCGAGCCACCTCTTGTGTTGCCCCCATGGCTGGTCCAATGCCTGCAGATCTGTTGGCAGCTGGACTGTCTAGTCTCCAGGTTCTGCCATTGTTTGGATCACATGCTTTTCTGGGGCTCAGAAAAGGAGATGACAGCTCAGGTCACCCTGTGAGTGATGTGGAAAGTCTTAACTTCATAAACTGTGTTTTAATCCTGTCCTTCCCCTGCCTCCCCTCCAAGCCATGGGCAGTAGAGGGTGGGTGTTCAGAGTAGAGGAGCCAGCAGAGGGGCTGTGTCTGCAGATGGATGGGGTTGAGCTCGATCAGAGTAAGGACCTGGAGTTTCCCCCGATTGCAGTCATGGGAGCTGTGCTGCGGTCAGGCCTTGTGAGCATGCCCCAGCCCATCTGACCAGCTCGCCCCTCTGGACCCCCAGGTCTTCTCCAAGATCTTCAGCCATGAGGCCCTGGAGAGCTACCTGCCCAAGATCCAGCTGGTGATCCAGGACACGCTGCGTGCTTGGAGCAGCCACCCTGAGGCCATCAATGTGTACCAGGAGGCACAGAAGCTCACCTTCCGCATGGCCATCCGTGTGCTGCTGGGCTTCAGCATCCCCGAGGAGGACCTCGGGCACCTCTTCGAGGTCTACCAGCAGTTTGTGGAGAACGTCTTCTCCCTGCCTGTTGACTTGCCCTTTAGCGGCTACCGGCGGGTGAGCACACAGAGCCTGGGAGGAGGCGAGCTGGGCATCCGTGAGCCCTTCCTGCCCTTCTTGAGGGAGGGGGCAGCTGACCGGTCACAGGGACAGAGAGAGGGGAGGTGTCAGCGGGAGGGCGGGGTGGAGCCTTCACCCGGGGTCTCTGCAGCTTAGATGGGAAGTTCTCAGAGGAGTACCCCCATCCCTGGCCCTGCCCGGCCTTGGGAGGAGGCTGTCTGTGACCCTGCCCATCCCCTTGGGTGACCGGACGGCCTCTTTCTCCTCTCAGGGCATTCAGGCACGGCAGATCCTACAGAAGGGCCTGGAAAAGGCGATCCGGGAGAAGCTGCAGTGCACGCAGGGCAAGGACTACTCGGACGCACTGGACATCCTTATTGAGAGTAGCAAGGAGCATGGGAAGGAGATGACCATGCAGGAGCTGAAGGTGAGGCGCCCTCCCTCCCCCGGGTGGGAGAGTCCGCGTGGGTAGGGCCACCCTTCCCTCCCCACGGCTTGCTGTGCACCCAGTCCTGGTGGTGGGTCCCCACAGCAGCTGGGCTCCATGCTTTCCCCACCCGTAGTCCCATCTGCCATTTTGAAAAAGGTGCTGAAAATTGGCTCTTAGAAACCCTGAACAGACTCAGCATTAGCGGCTTTGCTGACACGCTGGCGGCCACTCCCCCACATTCACTGTTCCAGTGCGTTTCCCAGTGTGGCATGTCCCAGTAGCCCTGGGAGGTCACCTAGGGAAATGCAGGCCCAGAGGGGAAGCCACTTTCTGGAGGGCAGCCTCAGCTCTTGCGGAAGAGCAGGGAGATTTGGACCTAATTTAGGTCTCCTCTGGTTCCCACCAGCCTTTTCAAGTTGATGACATTTGACACTCTCCCTGCCCACCTGGCACTGGCCAAGCCTAGCTGGGCTGCGGGCACTGAGACTGTCCACGCTGGGCTCCGAGAAGGGCTTCCTGCCTGCCCTTTCCCAGGGTGGGTAGTCCACGTGAGGGGAGGGGGCATCCGTTCATCTTTGCCTAGACTCTGCCACCCTCACGCTGGCCTGGTGCTGGTGGCCACGGACCGCACACTGCTCCGTCCCTGTTGTCTCTGCTTCCCCTGTAGTCTGGCTCCAGCTTTTTTCCTGGTGATCCAGGAAGGAGCCCTAATGCCTTTCCCATTTCACAATGTTTTGTGCCTCTTAGGTGATGCCATGGCAAGCTAGGGGCCCAGGTTCCTTCACTCCCCTCTCTGGGCTGAGCATCCACGCTTGTAAAGTGCAGGGTTTAGAATGAGATGACTTGTTGAGGCCTTTCCATGGGGCATCATTGCTCCCCAGGGAGCCCTGGAAGGGCTCTGAGTCTTCTGGGGGCCACCTCCCCTCGGTCTTCTCACTACATTCCCATCCCAGGGCCTCGAGGGTGTGACCCCAGGCTGCTTCCCCAGCCCCTCAGCAATCCGGACCACCTATCAGATGTCCTTCTCCTGGAGATGGAGGAAGGGGCTGGGGTGCCTGTTGGGAGGCCCAGGTTTAGACCCTGCGCCTCAGCCCCCCTCGCCCAGCAGTGCCTGCTCCTTGGGATTTGTTCTTTTTCTTCTGTGAGCTCACTGCACTGATGAGGGCCACTGGCGCTGGCCCTGGAGGCCAGCAGTGAGTGGGACACAGCCCTGCCTCAAGGGAATTTTAGGCTGGTGCTTCTGCCCAGCCAGGGGACTAGCCCTGTAACCTGTGGCCATCATGGCCCAAATGCCCCAGCAACGTGATGCTCAGAGGAAGCAGGCAGGGCCCAGCTAGATGACCCTGGGGGCACGGGGGACCCAGGCAGAGAGCGGCTGCCCCCAGGCTGGGGCCGCACGGCTGAGCCCAGGTCCAGGTGGGCGAGTGGTGCTTCTCCTCCGCGGCTGCAGGACGGGACCCTGGAGCTCATCTTCGCCGCCTACGCCACCACCGCCAGCGCCAGCACCTCGCTCATCATGCAGCTGCTGAAGCACCCGGCCGTGCTGGAGAAGCTGCGGGAGGAGCTGCGGGCCCAGGGCATCCTGCACAGAGGCGGCTGCCCCTGCGAGGGCACGCTGCGCCTCGACACGCTCAGCGGGCTGCACTACCTGGACTGCGTCATCAAGGAGGTCATGCGCCTGTTCACGCCCGTTTCCGGCGGCTACCGCACTGTGCTGCAGACCTTCGAGCTCGACGTGAGGCTGGGCGCCATGGGGCGGGGGCCCTGCCGCGGGGGTGGGAGGCTGGCTGATGGCTCCCCGCGGGGTAGGTGCCTCAGCCTGCCGGGGAGACAGTGCGGGCTCTCAGGGAGCTTCCGGACCGATGGGAGAGACCCTGCCCCAAATGCTGGGTCAGATGCAGCCCACCTGGATGTCCTGTGAAGCTGCATGGGGACATCTATAAAGATGGACTAATCAATACGCCGAAAGGGGAGACTGGCCAGGCCCCAGGACCCCAGTGCGGTGCCGCCAGGAACAGCTGGGTGGGGGCAGGCAGGCAGAAAGTCCTGGGTCCCCTCAGACCTCCTCTGGTTCTCACCATCTCATCCCACCCCTGCCCCCACCTTGCCTCCAGGGTTTCCAGATCCCCAAAGGCTGGAGTGTCATGTACAGCATCCGGGACACGCATGACACGGCGCCCGTGTTCAAGGATGTGAACGTCTTCGACCCCGACCGCTTCGGTCAGGCACGGAGCGAGGACAAGGACGGCCGCTTCCATTACCTCCCTTTCGGCGGCGGTGTCCGGACCTGCCTGGGCAAACACCTGGCCAAGCTCTTCCTGAAGGTGCTGGCCGTGGAGCTGGCCAGCACCAGCCGCTTCGAGCTGGCCACCCGGACCTTCCCCCGCATCACCTTGGTCCCTGTCCTGCACCCTGTGGACGGCCTCAGCGTCAAGTTCTTTGGCCTGGACTCCAACCAGAACAAGATCCTGCCAGAGACGGAGGCCATGCTGAGCGCCACGGTCTAAGGCGCCAGGCCCTAGAGGGGTGGGCGGCGATGGGAGGGTAGAAACCTGTGTGTGGGCGGGGGCTGGAGCCCGGGGAAGAGGGAGGGCCCCCCCAGACCTTGCCCTCCCCTGCCCCTCTCCCCAGCAAGCCCCACCCCAAGTCGAAAGGGCCCCGTCCTTGCAGGGCGGGGCCCTTCCCCAGCCCTGCTTCTCTCCAGTCTCTCCAGTTCCCACCAGCTTGGCTCCCGGGAAAGGGCGTGGCCCCGGCCCTGCGTGCCCGGCACAGTGTTAAATGTCGGTGGGCTGTGCTGCAGCTTTTGCTTGTGATGTTCTGCCCTGATCTCTCCCCTCCCTCTTCTTTTGGACTCTTTTAGTTTGAGGTCAGGTGGTTGACATGGGGGAGGAAGGAAAAGAGGTGCTCCCTTTGGCCCTCTCTTCAGCACCCCCTCCCCTCTGCCTGGGCTTAGACAGGCCGAGTGCCCCTCTGGGTGTGGCCACTGGCACCCGCAGGAACAGCATCTTGGGTAATAGAACGACAGTCACCCTTGTCAGGCTGGGCTGTCACCAGCCTGGAGGCCCTGCCCCTTGCCATTTTGGACATTTGAAATTACCTATTGCTGCTACTTTTTCTCTCTTCTGACCTTGGGGCAAAGGAGCCCCACGCCCTGTCCTCCCAGCATCCTCTCTGGTGGCCCTGGGCACGCGCACTGACATCCCCACCTTCCCACCAGGTGGCCTGGAGCCCACCCTGCTCCCTGTTACACACACACCCAAGGCCCTCGGCTCATGGGCTGCCCCCCAACACTGTCCCTATTTATTCACTGATACCACCTGGGACTGGAACTAGCGTGTCCTCTGTCCCCTGGCCTCCATCCCAGCTGTCCCCGGCAGGACTTCTGCAAGCTACACAGCCCCCCAGGCCTAGGGTCGAGCAGCACCCTAGTCGCCAGACCTTCTGTGGGTTCAACCTCAGAGCCTCACTCCCGGGGTGAAGTCCAGCGCCTCTGCCTCTGTCCCCTGCTGGAGATGGGGAAGCAGCCCCCTGCCTCCCTCCCGGCTCCGTCTGAGACCTTGATCACAGCGGGGTTCGGAGGCTGCCACCGTCTCCCACTCGGTCACTCTTCACCCCGGTGCCCCCTACTCTGGCTAGTGAGTATGGGGAAGAATACGGGTTCTTTCTTCTGATGGGGAGCCAGGCCTCTGTCATCCCCCACTCAACCCTCTCCCTTTGCCCGTTGTCCTTTGTCCTTGGAAAGGTGTCCCTGAAGTCCCTCCCCACCTCTGTGCCACTGTCTGCTTAGCCCAGCTCAGGGGGGTGGGGACTGGAAGAAGGCAAGGGGAGGTGTGTGCAGAAGCAGCCCTTCCTCACAGCTGGCCCGGGGTCTGCGCAGGGCCTGAGGCAGCTGTGAGGGGCGCTGCAGGGAGAGCTGACGAGGAGGGTATGTGATTTGTGAGAACTGGCCGGTCAGGGGATGAGAGAGGAGTAGCTCCTGCCGCTGGCCTTTGGAGTGTTGGGAACAAGACATGCCTCCCAGGGATGTTTTGGGGCCTTTGGTGAGTCTCGGAGTAATTTTGTCTGTTTTCAGATTTTTTTTTGCTTTTCGTGTTTCTCTCTTGGCTTTTGATGTTATGAAAAAGCGATGATTTGTCTTTATGAGAAAATCGAAAACACACAGAAGAGGAACGCAGGACACTGATCCCCCTAATTACCCCTCCTCCGTATCAGTAAGCACTGCGAGCAGCTCCGTGGCCCCCAGACGGGGTTCGGCGGGCAGGTGGCGCATCCCCCTCCTGCCCCATTTCCACCTGCCTGGTGGTGGGCTCCGCAGGAATGGCTCGTGCCCCACGGACTGCTCTGTAACCCCATGCGCAAGCTTTTCACTCATTCCTACCTTTTCACTGTTAAAAACACCAGTGCAGCACAGATATTATCAGCAAAAGTTGACATTAAAAAAGTTAGTGATATCTCTGTCTCGCCACATTCTGAAAAACAGGCAAAAAGTGTGTAAAGACTCATCAAAGTTTGCAAAATAGCTGTATGGTGCAGCAGAATTTGTTACCTACAGAAAGCCCCGTGTCTGGAGGGCCGTGCCCCTCTCAGCTGACCCAGCCCCAGACAATTGTTGACTGAATATCTGAGAGTAAGTGCGTGCAGCTTCAGACAGGAAGCCCGCCGGGCCTGGCCCGGCTGAGGGGCGGGGAGGCTGGAGGGCCGCGGGGGGGCCTCAGTGGCCTTCGCTTTGGGTGACCAGCCTGGGAGGGGCCGAGAAGGCGAGGCTGAGGGCATCCCCGTGACGGAGGGAAAGAGGGATCGTTTGCCCCGCTGGGTCTCAAAGGCAATAAGAAGAGAACAGAAGAAAGCTCTTGACTGGCTGACAGGAGGGTTCCAGTGTCGAAATTCACCCGTCTCCGTAGGTCCATCCGTGTCTGCATCTGTGTATAGGTTCTCTAGAGGTAGCATTAGATGAGCAGTGTTTTCTCACTTAGCATTCCTAACTATTGTAACTTGACGTTAAAGAGACAAAACCCCACACAACTCTTTCTGCCACGGGCTTGCAGATTGAAGCACTTTCGATGTTGGGCGCTGGCATATGTGTTCTGGGCACCATCGTGACCCTGCCCAGATCGCTATAATGTTATTTTATACACAAAACTTTTTTTTTTCATAAATGTTATAATTTTGTGTCTGTCTTTATAAACTATTATAAGTACTATTTTTGTTATAATTCAAAATAGATATTTAGTATAAAGTTTTTGCTGTTAAATATTTGTTATTTAGTAAAATATGAATTTTTTCTCTATTGTAAACATGGTTCAAATATTAATATGTTTTTATCACAGTTGTTTTAATATTGAAAAAGCACTTGTGTGTTTTGTTTTGATATGAAACTGGTGCCGTGTGAGTGTTTTTGCTGTCATGTGGTTTTAATCTGTATATAATATTCCATGTTGCATATTAAAAAATGAACGTTGTGCATTTTGTGATTTTGGAAATACTCAATGTGGCTCTTTTATAGGCTTCCATAATAAACCGTGGGGACTCACCCTTGTTTGGTTTTCTGGTCTCTGCCTTCTCAGCTCCCTGGAAGGGTCCTCCTGGCCACCCATGTTCCCCTGAGAGACTGACACCCCGTCCCACCTGTGAGGCGGGACATTCTTTCCCGAAACATTTGTCCTGAGAGGCCAACCCACCGTTCCTTGTGCGAAGGCTCAGAGAAGTCCATGGCCTGCCCTGCGAGGAGCAGGTTCCCTGGGGAGGGGAAGATGTAACTGGATGGCCACTGTCCCCAGAGGCCTGCTGAGGGCCAGGGCAGCTGGAGCCAGCTCCAGGCCGAGTGAGGTTGGGCCTGGCCGGGCCAGGTGTCTGGGTCCTAGACACGGCAACCCACGGTGCTGAGGGCCTGATCTCAGAGTCCGTCTTGTTACCATGGATGAGGACACTGGTGTCCACAGCCACAGGGCAAACTGGACAGTGGAATTCAGTTCTCCTGACTTCCAGCCTCATGCCCCATGAGGCGAGCTCTCAGAGCCTATTTCATGGGTGTGGCCCGAACAAATAGATTCCAGGAGCAAATCAGTTTGGGGAAAGGGTTAAATAGAGTCAGGCAGATTCCTTCTCTGTGGGACTTCTCAGGACCTTGAGCCCCGGGATGGGGACACCGAGGGACTACATAGTGTAGAATGTGCACATCGCAGGGCTCCCCAAGCCCACTGATGACTGAAACCATGTCCCCTTTGTCCGTTGCCACACTCCAGAAAGGTGCTCTGCAACCTGACTGCCGCCGAGCCTAGAGGTGACCCCGCAAAGGTCATGATGTCCAATGTGAGACAAAGGACATCCAGGGCAGACCCCAGACCCGAGGGACTGTGGGCAGGGAAAGATGATAGTGAGCGGTAGAGCTGTGGCCCCTGGAGCTGCACCAGGACCCGGGGGGGCCGGCCCTGGCAAGGCCAAGATCTCACAATGCCCAGCTGGTCCCGGCCTCGATTTTGCCTGGTGCCCTCCCTGCCAGCCTGGGAAGCACCCCCCGCCCCCCGCACCGGCCTGAGAAAGGCCTTTTTGAGGCTGCAGTGTCTCTTCTCCGTACAGTCGGTCAGACCCTAACTCAGCTCAGAGCCCTGGGCCCAGATACATCCCAGGACACGGGGGCATCCTGCTGCCTGGGTCACAGAGCCTGGCCGCCCAGATAAGCCCCCCAGCATCTCCTGAACTGTGCCACCAGGCTGGCTGCTCAGCGAGCCTGACCACCCAGGCCTTTGCCCTGGGTCATCCTTCTGCTTCACCTCTCCCCAGCATGCCCAGGTCTGCGCCCCGAGTCCTAGCCTCCACCCTGGGGACGGGAGGGCATGCTGATTCCGTTTTCCATGAGCTAAAGCAGAGTCTCAGTGTAGGCAGAGACCTGCTCACAGCCGCACAGAAGCAGAGGGTGGTCCTGGGCCCAAACGGGGGCCACCTGTCCCTCCCAGCGCAGGCCCGATCCGAGGGGCTCCCCCACACAGAGGCCTCCAGGGTCAGGAAGAAGCAGCAGCAACAGCCCCAGCTTCCCCTGGGAGACGTGCCAGCGGAAGGTGGTAGTTTTTCAGAGCGCAGATTCCATCTCTGCCGGTGGAATGTCCTGTGCGGCAGCAGAGGTGAGGGAAGTGTGGTCCTTGGGCTGCCCTGGGTCTGACCGCCCTGCCGCGGGGCGGGAGGGCCCAGCTGGGCGGGTGGCTGGCCTGTCATCACCCAGTCTGTCCTGGCCTCTCCTCCATGGGCCCAGTGGGCCGGTGACGTCCCGCACACGGCGGCCGGCCCCTGGGATCTCCTGGCCTGGCAGGAGAACACAGGCCCTTGTGGACAGGCCAACACGGCCGCTGTTTGTCCACGGGATGGGGCGCCAGCTTGGAGGGAGCTCACAGACCGCACATTCTGCCACCTCCCAGCACTTTTCCAAAACAGCCAGGCCTTGGTTGGGCCTGGCGGCCTGAGGTGGCCGGGGGCTGGGAGCCAGGAACAGAACAGGGCCGCAGGGCCAGCAGGGTGAGGGGACCAGGTGGGGGCAGACACTGCACTTTGCCAGAGCAGCCAGCGCAGCTTTGAGGGGCCCTGGGGGTGAAGAGTGAGCGCGAGAGGAGGCCTGTGTGGGTCTGTGTCTGGCGCTAAAGCAAAACAAATCCGGCTTGCCTCCTAGGCCTCCGGCTGAGCCAGCCTCCGTTCCTCTAGAGGCCCCGGGGTGCTGAGCGAGGGATACAGACAGTGACGGGGAAATAGCAGGCAGGGAGGCGGGCTCTGCTCCGCGTCTCCTGCCCCACTCCCCTTTCACCAGGTTGGTCTGCCTCAAGGTTTGGCCTCCACTGGCCTCCCCCACCCCCAGGACTCTGGCCTCCCAGGAGACACATTCCAGCCCCTAAAGCCTTGGCCTCCCAGTAAAGGGACTGCCTCCCCTCAACACCCCAAGCCCCGGGCACTCTGAGACTCTGGCTCCCTCCAATTGCTCCCCCATTCTGCACAGCAGGTGAGTGACAGCCAAGCCTGCAAAGACTTCCGCAGGAGTGTGGCTCTGTGACACCCCCCTGGAAGCAGCCAGGCCTGCCCTGGGGGCTACCAGAGGGGCAGTAGGGATTCTGTGGCTGGCAGTAGTCATGTGGCCAAGTTGCTGGCCCATGGGAGGATCCCAGGCTCCCTGGGAGGGAACGTGGGTAGCCTGGGAGGCAGGTGGGCCGTGGGTAGGGTGCACCTGCTTGGCTACCGCCCCATCCGTCCGGGCTTGTCTGCATCCACAGAAGCCCTTCTGGCCTTGCCCAGTATAAATGTGACATTTTGGTAGGTCCTTCCTTCCCACAGCTGCTTCTTCTCTGGGGTAGGGGCGGAGTGGTGGCCTATGATTGGCCGCCCAAGGCAGAGGGGTGAGGGGATTGTGGGACGGGACAGGTGGAAGTGAAATTCACACCCAGGACACAGCCAAGGAGGGAGGGAAATGAGCTAGCAAGGTGGGGGAAGGTCAGGGCTGCTGACATGATGTGTCAAGAGTGCAGGAAGAGGGTGGGTGATGAATATTTCAAAGTAGAAAAGCTCTCAAGTGGAAGCCTTGCCTGCTTATGGTGAGGTGGTTTGCATTATTATGATGTCAACTCCTCCTCCATCAAAGTAAAGACTGCCATGTTTCCAAGGGTTTTGTGCGACTGTGCGTGCGTGTGTTTTATTTGGAAATAATTATAGATTCACAGGAAGTTGCAAAGAGAGTGCAAGAGTGGTCTCACGTCCCATCCAGTTTCTCCCAGTGGCTTTTCACATAATTATAGTGAAATATATCAAAACCAGGAAACTGACTCTGTGTATGTATATTTTGGTACCATTTCATCAGAGCTGTAGATTTGTATAATTACCACTGAAAAAAAAATCAAGAGACAGAATGAGTCCATCACCACAAAGATCTCACTTAAAAGATTATGATCATTCACTAACTTTCTACTTGCCTCTACTCTCCCTAACCCTTGGCAACCGCTAATCTGTTTTTCGTCTCTATAATTTTGTCATTTCAAGGTTGGATGAGTGGATTTATTCAGTACATGATCTTTTGAGATTGGCTTTTTTTTTTTCCCCCACAGAGCATATTGCCCTGAAGAGCCACCCAAGTTATTGCATACATCAATAATTTGTTCCTTTTTGTGGCTGAGTAGTATTCCAGGGTATAGATGTACCACAGTCTGTTTAACCATTCAGTCATTAAAGGATATTTGGGTTGTTTCCAGTTTTTGGCTATTACAGATATTATGTTGAGGTAACTTTCTTCTATTCCTAATTTGTTGAGTGGTTTTTTTTTTCATGAAAAAATGTTGAATTTTGTCAAATGCTCTTTCAGCATCAGTTGAGATCATAATATCATTTCCTCCCAATCATTCTGTGAATGTGACGTATTACATTGATTGAATTTTGTGTACTGAACCATTCTTGCATTCTAGGATCAAGTATCCCACTTGATCATGGCGTATGGTCTTTAGAATGTGCTGTTGATTTCTGTTTGCTAGTAGCTTGTTAGGACTTCTTCTTCCATCAGGGGTATTGATCTGTAGTCTTCTTTTCTTGCAGCATCTTTGTCTGACTGTGGTATCAGGGTAGTGCTGCCCTTACAGAAAATGAGTTTGGAAATGTTTCCTTTTCTTTAATTTTTCTGGGAAAGGTTTGGAGAGGATTGGTGTTAGTTATTCTCTAAATATATGGTAGAATTTACCAGTGAAGTCATATGGTCCCGGACTTTTCTTTGTTGGGGAATGATTTGCAAATATTTTGTTGGAGATTTTTTCACCTATGTTTATGATAATATTTAGTAGTTCTTTGGTACTATCTCTGTGTGATTTTGGTATCAGAATATTGGCCTAATGAGATTTCTTAGGAAAGATTTTCTCCTCTTCTATTTTTTGGAAGAGATTGTATAAAATTGCTGTTTCATCTTTAACTGTTTGGTAGAGTTCTCCAGTGAAATCACCTGGGCCTGGACATTTCTTTTTAGTAGTAAATTCAATTTATTTAATGGTTAGGAGACTATTTTAGATAATCTATTTTATTTTGGTTGAGTTTATGGTTTGAAGAATTGGCCCATTTCTTCTACGTTGTTGAGTTTGTGGGTGTGAAGTTGCCTATAGGATTCTCTTACTATCCTTTTAAAGTCTTCAGGATTTGTAGTGATAGCCCCTGTTTGTGCCATCTCTCTTATTATTTTATCATTCTAAAGGTTTATCAATTTTGTTAATTTTTTCAAAGAAGATGCTTTTAGTTTTATTGCCTTTATTATTCTCTTGTTTTGCTTTCATTGATTTCGACTTTTCTCTTCTTTTAAAAGTGTTTTAGTACTTTTTCCTTCCAGTTTTATTGAGATATAATTGACATACAGCACTGTATAAGTTTAAGGTGTACGGAATAGTAATTTGTCTTCTGTAAAACGTGAAATGATTATCGCAATAAGTTTAGTGAACGTGTATCTCATTTGGATACAAAATTAAAGCAACAGAAAATTTTTTTCTTATGATGAGAACTCATAATTTATTCTCTTAATGACTTTCATATATGGC